GAGTGGGGGAAGGACCCTGCCTTTTCTTTTTCTTCTAACCTTTCTTTTTCCATGAAGACATGAATCAGGAATCAGGAGAGTCTCAGAGACCTAGAATATCAGTGTTAGAAGAGGCAAGTCCAGGAACCATCAACCTGAGTCCACTCCATGGGTCTCAGGAGCCCCTTGAAACCGTTTACACATGTTGGGGGGAGGGGCGTATGTGCATTTTTCTGGACTTGCTAATGCAAAGCATTCACCAGCTTCTCAAAGCTGTTTCCGCTCGAAGAAGTTAAAATACACTGGGCTAGTCAAAGCCTTTTCCTTTATAGAGGAGAATATTGATTCCCGTGGAAGGCAGGAAACACGCCCCCAGAGCCACCCAGTTAGCTGGGGCCCATGCACAGTTGCATGTTTACCACTGGCCAGGCTACTGTCCTGAGGGCTCTGTGTGCAGCCCCTCACTGATTCTTTATCTGAATCCTTTGAGGAAGGTCCAGTTATTACTCCTCCTGTACAGACCACTACACTGGGGCCCAGAGGAGGTAAGTGACTTGCCAGGAATGATGCCACGTCATCTCTGTTTTTACTACACTGCGTTGTCCCTATGCAAAAATAAAAATCTTGGCTCTGCTGTTGGGGTGAAGGCCACGAGCTTGCCATTAATCTCTTAACAAATCATACTCTCCCGCAGTCTCATGACACATTCCCCCAGATACTAGTTTATACTTCCTGCCACAGAAAACTTTCCACCTTTGCGGTGGAGCCCGCCTGCCTGGCCCTTGCGCTGGTGGGACGGGCGCCCTCTGCTGGCAGCACCTCCGCAGACAGCGGCTGGGGGACAAAAGTGGTTTTTTTTTTTTTTTTTTTTTTTTAAAAATAAATTTATCTATCTATCTATCTATCTGTCTTTGGCTGCGTTGGGTCTTTTGTTGCTGCGCATGGGCTTTCTCTAGTTGTGGCGAGCGGGGGCAACTCTTCATTGCAATGCGTGGGCTTTTCATTGTGGTGGCTTCTCTTATTGCAGAGCACAGGCTCTAGGTGCGCAGGCTTCACTAGTTGTGGCACGCGGGCTCAGTAGTTGTGGCTCGCGGGCTCTAGAGCACAGGCTCAGTAGTTGTGGCACACAGGCTTAGTTGCTCCGCGGCATGTGGGATCTTCCCGGACCAGGGCTCGAACCTGTGTCCCCTGCATTGGCAGGCGGATTCTTAACCACTGCACCACCAGGGAAGCCTAAAAGTGCTCTTTTTTTAAAGTGATTCCTTGGACCCCTTGGAAAAGTATTTCTACGTGCTGATTTTTCCCAAGTTTAGCAGGACATAGCCACATTCAAGATTCTGGTGCTGTGTTCATTCACGCAACAGTATTTAGTTTCCTTTTTGTTAACCTTTGAACTGAAAAATAACTCATGCATATAGTAAAAAAATAATCAAAATGGATATATAGTGAAAACTAATGATCCCACCCAACTGACTTGAGTATCTTTTCCCAGAGGAAAAACGTTGTTTTCAATTTACTGGGCATTCTTCCCGAAATATTCTATGCATGTACAAGCATAGCATATACAAGCATATTTGTATATATCCCTCTTAAAATAAAAAAGAAAGAGAGCATAGTTGGAAGCTACTGTATGCATACTGCTCTGCACTTTGCTTGAAATATCAGGATATTTGGAGATTAGTCTGTATCAGCCCATACTGACTTCCCTTTTGTTTCCATAGCTACATACACTGTGTAGATATATCATAATTTATTTAGATTGTTTCCAGTCTTTGGCTGTATAAACAATGCCTCTATGAATAACCTTGAGTTTATTTCTTTGCACGTGTGTGTGTGTGTGTGTGTGTGTGTGTAGATATATATATATATATATATATATATATATATATATATATATATATATATATATATGTATGACCAGGATAAACTTCAAAAAAGTATCTTGCTGAATGAAATTTGAATTTTGACGGATACTACCAAATTGTCCCCTAAAGAGTATACACCAATTATAATTTCACAACAGGCATGAGAGAGTGACTTTTCCTCTACACTCTTGACAAGAGTGCAATACTCTCAACCTTGTACTCATCAAATAGGGTTACGGGCCCACTGTGTCCATTCATTTGCGCTATGCACAGAGCAAACAGGAATAATGACAGTCAAAAATCCTTAACCACACAGAACGTAAGGAATAGAGACATAAAACCAGAAATTACAGTGCATTGTAGTGAGTGCCCTGTTAGAGAAAGGACACCTGGGAAGCACACAGCAAGGGGACATAATCTAGTCTGAAAAGCAGGCACGCCTTACCGGGGGAATGCAGAGGTAAAGAGAGACATGGAGGCTAAGTGCTTGAGAGGATCAGCCAGGTAAAGCCTCAGGGTAAAACCGTCCCCCAGAAGGACCTGCCCGAATGCCCAGGTAACTAAGAGAAGCTGGGGCTGGCTGACCTACAGCTTACTGCTGAGAATGGGTTGTGTTCCCATATCAGCATCACCACATCAAAGCACAGCACACGTGGGCCTCGGCTGAGATGACAGAGTGCTCAACTAGCAGCCTGGAATGCCCAGATGAGGTGTGTGGACTGCTCGGGACTCATGTGCACCCATAAGGACCCTAATAATTCAGCGGGGCTGACACTTAACAAAGGAGTCGCCGGCCCGTCGGGCACATGGCAAAGTGGGGGTGAAGATGGAGGAGGACTGCGGTGACCTCATGTCTCCATCCACCCTAGAGAGGAGGTGTCCCCAGGGAGCGACCACGTCGGGGAAGAAGGCTTTGTGGAGCGGCCAGTAGTGAGCTGCGGCCATTTGTGTCGGCGAATGGACACTATATTGCCGGTGGGAAACGCGCCCAGCATCCATATGGTGGATGGCCTGTTAACAAGCTCCGGGTGCCCAGAGCGCCCCACCCGCTTTGATTTTGCCAAGCGAGCAGAAGCAGAAGGAGGCCCTGGGCCTTACCTACTGCTGTTCTGGCCCTGGTGGGGTTTCTCTTACCAGTTCCTCCCCTTCCTCGTTTCCCAACACATCACCCACCGACCCAGCCCCACCTCTCAGCCCAAACTAGCACAGCAGAGAAGGTCAGCTACACTGAGATCCGCAAGCCCTTCCACTCCATCTTCCACAGTCGGGGGTCTCAGGATACGGAACATGATACAAGGTGACACGCAGGGCCAGGTGTTATCTCGAGAGATAACACAAGAGGTCTCCACGACCCGGTGGCACCCTGACTTACTCATTTCCTTCCAGCATCCTAAGGCATATCACAGTTCACTAGTGCCAGTCACATGAACTGTTACATTTTATGATAGAATTTCAACTAAGTTAACCCTCACAAAATGAGCAACTGGCCGAAAGGACTGTTACAGCAGAGGTATGATCTGAAGACAATACTGGTATTGCAAGCCTGGAAAACAACGTGAAAATGGTAGAGGTGACATCAGTCCTGCTAACAAGTAGTTGTGCCATCCACGTCACGAGATAAAAACAGTGTGGGTGCACTCAGGATGAGAGGTCAATGAAAACGTTTTGAGATTATCTACAAGTCCGCTTGAACCACGGATTCGCATCCAGTATCCTCAACAATGAGCCTTGCCTTACATATATATGGTACCATCACATATGGCAAATAATAGTACAAAGCCACCACAGTTACCAAGATATTTAAAAATAGAGTTTTTTGGTAATTCCCTGGCAGTCCAGTGGTTAGGACTCTGCACTTCCACTGCAGGGGGCATGGGTTCGATCCCTGGTCGGGGAACTAAGATCCCGCAAGCAGCGCGGCGCAGCCAAAAAAGTAAATAAATGAACTTTTAAAAAAAATTAAAATAGAGTTCTTTAGCCCATCTTTTTAAAACTTCTATATTTGTGTATGTTTTATGAGATATGTAGTAATGCAGTATATTAATACAAAGTAAACATACATCATGTAAAAGATACATGGATATATATTTGCCTGATATTTATACATTATATTCATATATTTTTATATTACTAGTGATCTATTTAAAGATATTTGGCTCATTGCTCAAAAATATTTTAGGGAAGTAGGGCAGGATCAAAAGAAAAGTTGGCAGCCTCCGGTTTGAAAAATCAAAGCCTTCTTGTATTTTAATCGTGTCATTAGACCTTGAGAAGCCTCAAATGTTGGGTTTAGCAAGAATATACAAATTTTTTTTTCATCGAAGAGAGGGAATTTAGTGGAAAAAAGAGGGTTGAGCCTGGAATCAGAAGGGGTCAAAAATCAGCGCGAGCAAAAAGGCACGTCAAGTGGGCTGATTTCATCTTCCTTCTCAAAGCTCTTGCTCCACAATCACACAGAAAGCCATGTGTGTCTACTGTCCAGTCGCAGGCCAAGCTTGCATGATGGCGGTGAGGCCGACACAGCACCTAGAAAGCTGGAGTGTCCACCCCTGAGACTCTGAGCCCCTCCCGTCCGTCTGCAGAGGTGAAAGAGACCCAGGAAAGGAGCATGCCTTCCCTGTGCCTGGAAAAAACAGACAGCCTGCACCAAAGCAGGGCACACTGCCACCACCGCAGAAACAGATCTTAGCAGGCCCAGCTTTGGTTGTGCCTGTATCTCGTCCACATTCCCTCCGTTTAGGGGATTTTCCAAATATTTCGCTCCTCCTTGCGTGCACATTTCCTAGACCCCACGTGGCTGCTGAGTGAGAACTCTTTCGTCGCATCCTGAAAAAGTGGATTTATTGGAGAAGTGGGTCCCCTTCTGGGTTCATTTACAGCATCTGTGACTGTGAGAACTGGGACAGAAGACGCAAGTCACAGCCCCGACTCTGAAGCACCCTGGTGAAAGGCATTTCCTAAGAACAGGTCCTTCCTCAAGCTGCATGCGCTTCCCTCTGGGCCAGGACAGGGTTGGGGGCTGTGTGATAAGGTGTCAAGTCCAGGTGAAATCACATTGAAATGTGGGACCCTACGCACGTTCCTTCTCACCTCTAAGTCTCAACATTTCTCATCAGATATGGTCCCTTCCCTCTTCCCCTGCAGCCTCGGAAGGATTCCTTCTCTTGACATAGCAGAAGAAATCCTGATGAATGGAAAAAAGAGTAGATTAGAGGTTCTCTCTAATATAGAAGGACACTTCTTTCTCTTATACATCCATCTTCTTATTTGAGGAGAGCAATGTGTGGAGTACATTCTCAGTTCAGTGTTGTTTTGGTACTTCTGAACTTTAGAAAAGTACAAAAGCAGGATCACAGAAATCGTGATCCCCACTCTTACAGAATTAGCCAGAGAGAGAGAGAGAGAGAAGAGAGCAAAGGATGCCATTTTTGTCCTCAGGCTGGGCTGCTTGGCACCAGCCAGCCCTGGTAGGTGGAGCCTTGGATCTGAGTCCGATGCCCAGGCCTCCACTGCATTTAACTGCCTTCCCGCTGGCTGTGGGACACGGATGAGACCCTCAATTCTCAGCAGCCAAGTTTCTTGTCTATGAAAGCATGCCCGTAACAGTGTTCCTATTTTCTGGCTAATATGATTGTCCTTCTTCCCTGCAGGTTATTCTCCATCCCACCCCCAACAGCCCCAAACAGTCAGAGTGGCACAAAATGACAGTCTCCAAAAACTGCCCCGATCAAGACCTCAAAATCAAACTTGCCGTCCGAATGGATAAGCCTCAAAACATGAAGCATTCTGGGTAAGTGTTCCTTCTCCGAGTGGTAATTTTGGACCCACCCCATTCATTTCTTAAAATATTTAAAAATAAAAATAAATAAAAGTTGGTCTTCAGAGAACGACATGGAAGAAAAGCCAAAGAATTATGAGAGATTATTAAAATACCTGACTTTGATATTTGCTGTATAAGCTTCCTCAATTCTTATGATTACTGTATTTGCATTTGCTAAACCACCAGGATAGGGTCATTGCCTTATCCTTTTCTAATAGAATTTCCGGTACAGTTCAAAACCTTCCTAGACTCATGCTGGGTGATTCTGGTCTAAGAGGTTTTACTGGCCTCACATACCTCCTTAAAGGCATCCAGATCTTTCAGATTCTCTGAATCATGCACTTACACCTTCATTAACAACCATACCCAGGAGGTGTCAGCAGTTGCTGTAGGCGACCTTCAAACAATCAACTCACGTTGAATCAGTCTTAGTGTTTAGCATAACATTTAAATTAACCAGAGAGTAGAAATTTTATGATTGTCTTCAGTTTCTTAAGGTTTGAGAGGAATGACCAATTGAGTAATCTCAAGCAGGATAAAAAGAATAGGTAAACTGTAGTTTTATTTGGCAGATCAAACCAATGGTTTGTATAGGAAATGTTTATTGGCAAGTTGGTATACGCTGAGCCCCATTGCCTATTACACTAAATTGCTTGGACACCACTATCTCAGAAAATGTGACCACTTAGAAAGGAGCTGGGCCATTTAACTCTGACTAGGGGAACGTTTAACCAGTGGAAGGGAATGGATTGTCTTCCAAGGATTCTGCAGGTACCATTTGCCAACCAGCTATCATTCTGCTTATGTGTCTGTGAAAGGACTTAAAGTAATAAAACTGACATGAAAATTGAAGCTTGGTTATGCGCTAGAGATGTGGGGAATTCAAAAACCCAATACCAGGGGCTGGCCACTGATTAAGACAGATTTAAACAGAAGCCCGTGAGAGGTTCAGGAGGGCGTGGTCGGGATAGGAGGTATACATCCCAGCAGCTGAGCACACCACAGCAGCATGCAGTCAGAGTAAAGAGCAGCGCCCTGGCCTTGGTGCCTCAGAGTTCTAGGGAACAAAGAAGGCTAAAGGTTCTAGTGAAAGATAGATACTTACTAGGGAGGGTATTGGAGGGGGTTAGGCATGGGGAACTCCAAAGAAAGCAAAGGTCTCCCACCAACTAGAGACTGGCTGCTGCACCTGAGCTCTGGCTTGGATTTGGAGAATTTCCATGGCATTGTCTTTTTTTTTTTTTAACATCTTTATTAGAGGATAATTGCTTTACAATGTTGTGTTAGTTGCTGCTGTATAACAAAGTCAATCAGCTGTACGTATACCTATATCCCCATATCCCCTCCCTCTTGTGTCTCCTTCCCACCCTCCCTATCCCATCCCTCTAGGTGGTCCCAAAGTACCGAGCTGATCTCCCTGTGCTATGTGGCTGCTTCCCACTAGCTATCTATTTTACATTTGGTACTGTATATATGTCAGTGCTACTCTCTCACTTCGTCCCAGCTTACCCTTCCCCCTCCCCGTGTCCTCAAGTCTATTCTCTACGTCTGCATCTTTATTCCTGTCCTGCCCCTAGGTTCATCAGAACATGGCATTGTCTTGAGGCCAAAGTATTCCTAGAGTTTTAGGTGGGATTTTGGCAAAACTCTTCTGCCTGTGGCCGTGAGAAGGCTGTAGGGGAATGAGCCAGGCCCCTGCTATACCCTCTGTCCTTTTTCAGCTGTCCACGATGAACGGCTAGGTTTGCCTCATTTCAGTTAGCATCTCATGAAAATGTTTCCGACATGTTTCTAAGGTCAGCTTTTCCTCCTTCTTGTCATATTACTGGCATATATTCCCAAAATGTTAAACGGGATTTCTCCCTAGTATCCCTTCCTCTGCCATATAAACATCCTAGTTTCAAGGCAAAGGATTTGAGAATTCTGTTAGGTTCCTGTAGCACCCAGGAACAGCGTTTGTGTCTTGAGCAAAGCATTGACTCGTAAATACTCGGTAAATATTTGCTAAAGGAATGAGAGCATGAGTGAGCAGGATGGAGGGAGAGAGGGCGAAGTGAAGAGGGTAGAGCAGACAAAACAGAGAAACAGAAATATGAATGAATATATCTGTCCTTAAACCTACTTTTTAAAGAAACTTCCTTAAAAAGATCAGTAGCTCAACCCACTTTCTAGGCCCCTTTGAAGCTGTGTGCTATGAGTTTTACAAACACTCTCTCATTTAATCCCCACGGCACGCACTTGACATGGGTATTACTTTCCTTATTGGACAAATTCCCATTTCCCACATTCTCTTCATTTCTCTAACCAATCTGGATTAAGAAATTTTTCGCTTGATTCATTCGTGAAATTACTAACATATTTCAGACCATCTTGACCCTATGGATGGTAGAAGAAATCTGTAACTCACTTCTGACAGGCTCCACAGTGATTTCATTTCACTAGGCTGCCATCTAAAAATTACCCCTGCCGGGAAATATACCAGGAGGGCCTAGGGCAGCTCTGAAAGGTGGGCAGTGGGTGCCTTAAAAACACTGTCAGACCCACTGCGGCCTAAATCAGGGCTGGACAACCTTAGCTACCCAAGGGATGGTTCAAGGAAAATAAAAATGTTGTGAACTACATTTTTTTTCCATTTAAACTTAAAATAGCTTTATGAAGCCCTATTATATGGGGAAGGAGGATAGAAATATCAGAACAGTGTCACAGCTTAGAGAATGAGAGAGAGAGAGGAATTTTTAAGAATCAACTCTGAGGTTATAAATTGTGTCTACTTCGATGTTTATTAAAACCTAAAGGAAACCTCAGAATTACTGTGAATTACTCCTTGTTGGTGGACTGTGGTTCCTGGAATGAGCCACTGAGCCATTCAGAATAACTTTATTGAATAGAAAAATGTCAGTGAGAAAATCAACACTGGCTTTTGGCCTTAAGACATGAGTATTAGGGATATCTGAGGATGAGCATCTCCTCGGTGGCTTTCTAATTTTTCATCTTTTATATCCATATGTTGTCCTCAAGTTCAGGAAGTGCATTATCTCATTTTATCCCTGAAACAGCCTCCCAAGGATTAGTTATTATTATCACTCCATCTTAATAAATGGCCTCTCCCTTTGCCCAGTTGCTCAGACCAACATCCTCAGCGTCATGTGACACTTTTCTCTGTCTCTCACCCTTCATCTCATCCATCAGCAAGTTCTCGTCACTCCACCTTCAAGGTAAATCTAGAGTTCAACCTCTCATCACCACCTCCACACCATCATTCGAATCCAGGCCTCCCTCATTCTCCCTCTCACCTGTTGCACTTGTCTTGTCAGCAGTCCCCCCGCTGCTGTCCTTGCCCCCTGTAGGCTCTTTCCCACCCTGAAGCCAGAGTAATTTTTTTTTAAACACAAGTCAGATCCTGCCACTTGAATGCTGGAAAATCTCCAGTGATTCCTCATCTTGTTCAAAATAAAAGTCAGTGTTGCCTCTGTGGCAACAAGGCCCTATCTAATAAGGACACCACTACTATCTGACCTTGGTCACGGCTCTAGCCTCCCCGGCCTCCTTGCTCTTCCCTGAAGACTTCATGTATACCCCCACTGCAGGGCCTTTGTCCCCACTGTTTCCTCTGCCTTGGATGCCCCTTCTCCCCCACCCAGATATCCACATGGCTCACCTTGATTTCTGTGTGTCTCTGTACCTTATCAGAATGCCTTTCCTGGCCCATCTGTGTCCTCTGTCTGTCTCTTACTCTGCTTTGTTTTCACCAGAGCACTTACAGTCATCTCACATACCAGCTATTTCTCCATTTATTATTTGGTTGTCTGTCTTCCCCACTGGCCTTTGAGTTCCTTGTCAGCAGGGGCATCTGCCTTCTTTGTTCAAAGAAGCTATACAGGGCCTGACATGTAGTAAAAGTCCAATAAGTTAGTTGTTGCATAAATGAATGTGAATGAATCAATCTCTACAAATAAGGAAACTGAGGAGTAGAGTGGTGAACACACCTGCCCAAGTCAGAGTAAGCATCAGAGCCAGGTCTAGCATTGTGTTATTTCTTTCCATTTGAAATGAAAGAAATCAACTTAACTGAGGACCTGAAACATGAATAAAATACAGAGCTTCCCATGGCTCCACTTGGAATTCATTCATTGCACCACAGCTTATAAGTCTTAGCCATGCTTTTTTCTTTTTTTTTGGCTGAATATTTTTAATTTAATAAAAGCTATAAAACTTACATCCAAAAAGTTCAACAAACCGATGTTTAAGAAACATGAAAAAAATTACAGCAAGGTACAGTGTAAGTATAAAGCCAATAACCAGTGATAAAGAGAAAGTCATAAAAGCAGCCAGAGAACAAAGAAATGTTACACACAAAAGGATAAAGCAGTTCTTGTTAGAAGCATTGCAAGTGAGAAGACAGAGGAGCAACACCTTTAATGTACTCAAGTCTATATACGCAATGAAAACATCTTTCAAAATGAATGACAAAATAGTTACCCATGCTTCTTAAAATCCCCTTTCCTCTTCCACCTTCTTAGCCGTGCCGTTGCTCTAGACTTCTTGTTTTCAAAACCATCACGCTCCTCTCCCTTCCCCATAAGTCCCCAAGATACCACTCATATTGACACAGACTCTCAAACAGAACTACCTAGACTGACCGAATTCAATATATTTAGGATCCCACTTTACTTCCCATTGGCTTATTTTCTATAATTAGATCAATTAAATCAAGTTAGTTGATAGTGTTGTTTAAATTTTCTAAATCTTCACTGATTTTCTGCAAATTACTGAGATAGAGGTATTGAAATCTGACTATAATTGTGGATTTGTTTGTTTCTACCTAAGAGTTCTGTCCATCTTTGCATCATACATTTTGAAGCTCTGTTATTAGATGCATAAACATTTAAGATTACTGTGTCTTCTTGATGAATTGACCCTTTTATCATTATAAAATGATCTTCTTTATCCCTGGTAATATTCTTGGTCCT